TTTGTTATTTTGTAATCTTTTCTTCTGTAAGTTTTTGCTTTTACTTTTCGTGTAACTTTTCGTTTAGCTTTTCGTTTAGCTTTTCATTCAACTTTTTCATTTAATTTTTATTTGTAAAAACTTTTTGTTTTTATTTGGCTCAATTTTATTTTCTTCTTTTTTGAAGTACATTTGGTCTTTCGGGAAAAAAATTTGGAGGATTGTTTGAATATATATTTATATACAGAGGGTGGAGAATGAGATAAGAAAAGGGTGCTGAAGAGGCACCGAGACATCAAGTGATAGGTTGTCCTCGTTAAAATTAAATTCCTCGAAGATCTTAAGACGCAGTACTTAATGTCGATACCGAAGATTAAAGGCGGTTCGTTGCCATCTGTTTTGGGGAGGTTCAAACCGAAACACCTTTTTTCTTATTAGAAAAAATAACCACCGAAATTCCTCCAAGAACTTTACATTAATGCATAATTTAAATACTTTCCAAAAATTCAATGTATAATGCATTTAATTTGTTAAATAAATTACAATTCAATTGCCAGCATTAATATTAATTAAAGTTGCAATAAATAATTAAAATAGCAAATAATTTAATTAATAAATAATTTAAATGGTAAAGAATTGTAGTAATTAATAATTTTGAGAATAAATAATTAAAGTGGTAAATAATTGGAACAATAAATAATTGAAATGATAAATAATTGGAGTAATAAATAGTTGGAAGAATAAATAATTGAAGTGGTAAATAATAAAATTGAAATGGTAAAAAGTTGATATAAGGAATAAATCGAAATAAAAAGGAATTAAAATAAAAAAGTAGTAATGGGAAATAATTGAAACGAGGCAATTAGTGAATTAATTGTAATAACCATTAGAACCCAAAAATAGATTCGTATTTTACGAACGTAACCATTGGTTACAATCGTTTTAGACAAGGTCAATCTATTTGGTTCCTTGAAGGCAATCCTATCGCGTGACCCTGCTGTTAACTTGTTATTAATATCACTTTCCAAGAAAAAAATCATCGTCTTGTAAATAAAAAAGAAACTCGCTACTATGAAAATATAGAAGTATATTAGTTTCATTTAGTATTCTTAAAAATATATTAACGTCATGAAATTCTCTACACATATTAGTATAGGTACTATATTATAGTCGATGATAATTTCGTATAATTTAATTTTATACTCCTTTTCTCAGTAACATTTTTCATAAATTACTTTATCTGGAAACACTCTTTTTTTTGGAACAATTAGTTACAAATTTATACATTATATATACAATGTTGCATGTTTCATGTATATTTATACTTGGAAATTGTGTGTTATCGTATATAATTGAGAAAAAAAGTCATCATCATCAGTCAATGACATTATCTAATAATAATTTTGTATTCTGCATTTCTCCGTTTTATTGACAAATGAGAACGAACACTATTTGTCATATCTTTCTTTGCTCGTTACTTTCTAAATAGTTATTTCTAATTTTAATTTCTATTCTAATTTCTATTCTAATTTTTAATAGAAAAAAAATTATTTGATTCAACTAAACGATTTCTTGTCTATAAAAGTAAATATTTGTTTCTACTTTTAAAGAAAACAATTTTAAAATAATGTGTACCTGAATTAAAATTAGTGGACTTTTTTTAAGGATATCAAATTGAGTTGCGAAGCAACGTTTTGATACGATTTTTTGTCTCAATTTGATATCCTTAGAAAAACAGTGATTGGTATTATTCAAAAATGATTATGAAAGTATGATTAACAAATATGTTTTGGAATAATTTTTACCGAGAATAAATTTTCCTCGGAATTATCGTTTTTTGAAATCCTACAAATTTTTTATATTTGATATATATAGTAAACTGGTAATAATTCGTGGTAGTAAATGCTGTTTCAATTTTTCTACGTCTCGAGTTAATCGTGAGTCAATCACTCATTTCTTCTAAGCAACTTTTGCAGCGTGAAACTTGTATACTTGATACTCCAAGTGAATCATTTCTAGAGAAATGTCCTCTTTGGAATTAATTAATTTCTTTTCGTTTCTTTTTTAGAATCAAAATTCTTCCTCTGAGGAAGTAATGAAAAAATTCAAGAGCGAATGTAAAAAATAGATGGAAAATTTTTTTCCGTAGGAACAAAATCTCCTGACGATGAAATAATATCTTTTTTAGGATGAAAGAAATTGTATCAATTTTCAAAGCCACTTGTGTGGTATTATGCGGAAGCAACTGGTTGCATTTTTAGCCGCAAAGCTTTTGTGTTTGTATTTGCAAAGAGCCATATGGCGGGTGTACACAATCGTATCGTTAAATTTGCCTACACACGAGAAACAGGATTTCTGCAATAGAAAAAAGTCTCGGGAATTTCTTTTGCATAATTCATTGGGAAATGCTGCAAGCGATTCTGTTTTTTCTATTATTGTACGCTATATTATATAGTATTTTATTATATTACAGGGTTGCCATGCAACCTGAAAATCTGGAAATGTCAGGGAATTTTATAAACCTTGAAGAAACCTGGAAAAGTCAGGGAATTTTGATCGAAGTCCAGGAAAATTGTTGTTTTCTAAAGAATTTGAATCTTTTGAAGAATTTTATTTCCTATAGAAAAATAATAATTAAATATTTATTTAAAAAAGAAGTTATTGATGTTTTCGAAAAGTTTGTAAATAAATGTAACAGAACATTTTTTTACTAAAAATTTTTCCTGTCCTTTTTTTAAAAATGAAAAAAGTCCCAAAGTAATCAATAAAAAAGCTTCACTATACTAGTGGATATAAGTAAATTTTTTCGAAACAGGAAGAAAGGAAATAGAATTTGACTATTGGGGAAAAATAAAAATTCACCACAGTGGAAAAATAGTGAAACTGGATTGATACACGTGAGATGATTTCCATGTAGGTATGCGCAAGTGGAATGTGTAAAATTGAATTCCACGAAAGCTTGAAGCACTTAGCACGTTACCGATAGGGAACATGAAAAGACAGCGGCATGGACGGGGTCCTTTATGGACATGAAACGAGCGCTTCATCAATAGAATCATTCCGAGAATCACGACTGCAGCCTTTCATAGATAGATTATCGCGACGGATTGCGAGAATCGCATGGCGAAATCAATCTTTCGTGGATTGAAGTGCGTAGTCCGTATGACTTGGCTTTATTTCCGCCTCCAGCACTTCCCACGTTTCTCTCTCTCGCCCCTCTGACATTGTGATTAAAACAGGATGGATGACGCCATTGAATCCAATTCTTTTTCTCCCTTTCCATTTCTACAATCGTACTCGCAACAATCAATTATTATTTTCATTATTCCCATAGTGGTCATTTATTCATTCGAAAACATACGGGCAAAGCAAAAACGAATAAAGTTACCTTTACTATTTTCAAACTAAAAATTACACTGACAGTAATAACTTATCTTATTTATAAAGATAATTGAAATTTTGACAAGAATTTTATTAAAATTTTGTTTGAGTCTTAAAGACGTGTAATCATGAAGCTTCATGGGTGTAATAAAAATAATTTCGTTAGGTTCCGAAAAATTTGATTAGACGCAGAAAATAAAAATTGATTGAAACACTTGAAAACAGTGGACTTTTCTCTTTTCTTGGATCGAGTCACCGCTTCCCTTTCACTCCTCATTCAGTGGCTGGTAATTATCTCAGAACCGGCAATTACGAGGAAACGACACGAGGTTATCGGCCGACTTAACCTCGAGAGCTTCGTGTGATGAAAGAATATTATCATTATTACACTCAGGAGAGTGTATTGTTGTTTGCCGCCAATCAGTTTTGTCTCTTTTGTTTACGGACTGTTAACAAAAATTTTCTCTTCCTTCTTTGTCGCGATTGGATTTCATGATCATTGATGGGGACGTTTTTTTTGTTATTTTGTCCAATTCGCTGCTTTCTGTGAAATTCAATTAAAATTTATTTGCTTACAATGCCTTTTGAAATACAGAGAAAAGAGTAGGTTAACAATTTGTTTACTGAAAATTGCTATTTCTCGCTATTAGAGTACCGAGAAAAATTCTTGTTGTTTTTTTTTTCTTGAAGCTACTAGATTTTTCATTACGCCTTCTCAGTATGAAATAAATGGTCGTCGTGCTCATCCTTTTCAGGTCGTTGAGTTCTTTCACGCGATTTGAGTTTGTTGATTACTCTCTTTCTGTATTTTGTATATGCGCACTGTTTTTTTTTTTGTGTTTTGTCACTCTTGGCCGAAATCTGTTTTACAGTTAGAACTCTCTTAAAGTGGAATGTAATGAATTTTGTGTTTGAAAATCGTAAGTTTGTTATTCGGTTTGTTGCTTTTCTTGGGACGATTTCACAAAATTTATGACTTTCTAGTAGTCATCGGCAGCCGTTTTTTTGTTTCGAGTTTTATTAGATCCCGTAGATCCGTATTTGCGAAACGAAGCATGAATTGTTTTTTGTGTCCATATTATAGCTCAATTGGGATTTGAAAATTTTCCAAAAGAAGAGAAAATATTACAGGGTTACCACAGGTCCAGAAAAACTCAGGGAAAATTGGGGAAGAATCAATTTTTATTGTTTTGTGGAAAGCTTTTGTCCCAACACACACACACACACACCGTTTTGGTAGAAATTGTAACTGACTGACGAGGACTGTACCTGTTACGAGGTCAGACCGTGGCGTTCCACGTAAGCGAGAACATTAGGAGTTCTCGAAAACCTTTAATGTTCCCGGTTCCTTTGGCCGCGACTGTTGATTGACTTCCAAGGAATGTTTTTCAAATGGCCTCGATTGGATCGAACCAAATCTCGGAAGCCAGACAATACCTTTTTTTGCTACCTTTTGCCATTTTTAAATTTCTATTTTAACCCTTTTACTGTAAACAAAGTTAACTTTGTTAACCTAAAACAGTTTTTCTAAAGTGATTTGAAAAATTAATTTGATAAATAGATTTCAAAAATTGTTCAATAGAAGTATTTGTATTTGTGTGATTTATTCAGCAAACTTATGATTCTTTTTCCTGTTACAGACTGTCGTTTGGCGAGTGATGCTGTATTAAAGAAGCAACCGGGGGAAAAGCATCATCCAAAATGATGACGGTGATGTGTCCGAATTGCCAGCACCGATTCCCAGCTCCTGGATGCTGTAATCCAACAATGAGACAAGAAGAGAGTAACAGACTGATGGCGCCCCAAACAGCGGAGCGGATGGATTTTTACAGTGGCGGTGGTATTCTGGTGCCTCGTGGTTTCACCAGCGAGAATAGTTGCTTTATCAATGCCCCGACGATCGTGCATGGTCCAACGATCATTCAAACTGGTAATCAAAATTGCCTCACTGCACCGAGTTTCAGGGTGGGACATGGCTATCCCGTCAATGACGAGCCTCCCAGTTCGCCCAGTTCGATGGCGAATCACGTGAAACTCTCCCAAATGGGCTATGACGATCAGCAAGACGTGCCCGACCTCCTGCCACCGTCAGCCTGTCACATAACCACGAATTGCGACCACAAAGGCGGAAGTGTCACCATCACAACGCCGAGAAATCATTCCGGTGGTTGTGTCATCAAGTGCATTGATTCCGGTGTTCTGTTTCAATCGCCCGTTCAAATGAGGCCCCATCTCACCGGCGGTGGTTTCGTTCTGCAAAATCGTCTCTCTACCGAATTCATGGAGGAGACAGAGCCAATAATGAACGAGGAGGAACTTCGCAATCTTCCAAGTCCAAAACTAGTCGAAAATGAGTGCACCTTCCCGTGTAGAGAGTGCGGTTTGTCACCGCCGAGTGGCTGTCAAGAGTTGCCCGGCACTAGGCGCATCAACGAAAATCAAACTTCCAGAACGTCGAGTAGATTCAATTGTCATTCGCATTCGAATATATCCGTACAGACGAATAATGTTGAGCGGGTGAATCCCGATCTTCAGATCCAAGTGAATGCGACCGTACAGCTTCCGTCGAATCTCGGGCAGTGTACTGTCAACATCACGGCCACTACGAATACCGTGAGGAATACCTACGGCTACTACAATATTAGAAATCTGAATAATCTCAACGGCGGGGGACTCATTGAGACAGAGCCACATTCGCCGATCGACGATTCGTTCATCGAGAGGAATGACGAGAATCCAAGTACACCGGTCTCGTGGCTAATGCCCTGTCCATGGACATTTAATACTCACATGATGGAGAAGGATGTCAGTTATCTTGGCGAGGTGAAGAAGCTCCTGCAGACGACCGGATGGTATCACGAGGGAATGACTTGGCAGGAGAGTGAGAAACTCCTCAAGGATTCGCCTGTTGGCAGTTGGTTGATGAGAGACAGTTCTGACAGTAGATATTCGTTTGCGGTTTCCGTGCAGACAAAACGTGGACCCACGTCGGTGAGGGTGCACTTTCTTCAGGGACGTTTTCGTTTGGACGCCGAGCCAAGACTCGCTCTGGCAATGCCACTCTTTCGATGTCCGATCAAAATGATCGAATATTATGTCGACTACTCGACGAGGATGGACGATCAGAAGAATCAAGTTTGGATTGATTACAGTGGCGAAATATACAGTCATATCTACATGACAAAACCTTTCCTCAAGGAAGTCACGTCACTCTCACATTTAGCGAGGCTCAAGGTCAATGCTTACAATTTACCGAAGAATCATCTCCCAGTTATTATTAGGAAATATCTCGCTGAATATCCATACAGCATTTGAATTGCGAAAAAATTAATTTTGCTCCTGATTCCTTTTTCTTTAATTCTCTCTTTGAATTCTCCCACGAGGCAATTTCTCCTCTAGAGAAAAATTCTTTCGTAGAAACTGAAAGGGAATAATTTATTCCTTTTTCAGAAACTAAAAAAGAACAAAAATTAAGAGGTGAAAAAAATTTATTATTTCAATCACGAACGTAGAATTTTACGAAATTTCCAATCGTTTCTTTTTTTTATTCTATTGACTGAATTCGAGATTCTTGGGGGATCAATGAGCAAAATTCTATTTTTAAAAAATCGTCCTTGGTACAATAGAAATTTAGTATATTTTTCTGATAACCCACGTTCTCAGATCTGCGAATGCAATTTCCTTCTTTTGCAATATTCATTTTCGCGTGAGAGAGAGAGAGAGAGACCATTATTTATAAACTATTTTTCACGAGCATTGAAATTAGAAAAAAAAAAATTTTTGAAATGTTCGTAATGAATGGAAAAAAAATTGCAAAATAATAGTAAAATAGAAATGAAAAATTCATTCATTCTGAATATGTTCAGAAAATTTTGTATAAAATTTAATTAAAAAGTCGAAGAAAATTTTTCTTTCGACTGTAACTAAAATGAAAAAATTTTGGAGAGAAAAACTGTTGTTACCAGCGTTTTGCGCTTGAAACGAAAATAATTAGACCCATTTTTGCACTCTATGACATTTTTCGATTTCTAATGGCAAAATTTTTGTTAAATCTCCTCAAATATGAGATTAAAAAAATTGAGAAATTTTTTAATTTTTGAAAAATTGAAATATTTCTGCATTATCTTGAAAAGATTGCTTGTAAAGAAATTAAATTAAAAAAGTTTCTGTTTTAGAAAATTTTCTAATTGTGAAACTTGTATTATTATTAATATTATTATTATAATAATCTATAATGAATAAAAAAAAATCAGTAAGGTACTAAATTAAAAATGATTTTTCAATGTCAAAAAAGTGCACCAGTGGGTTTGGTATATATTTTGAAAAAAATAATTTGACTTTGCAAATTGCGATTCAATTTTTATTTAAATTCAGACTTTGGAACAATTTATTTTTTTGGTTAAAAAGTAATTGTTCAATTTTCTTTTTTTATTTATTTAAAACAATTAAATGTATTTAGAAAAATATTTTCTACTAATGGAAAATTTAATCCAAAAGTGGATGACAAAAAAAATTAAAAAATGTTTAAATTTCAAAATTGAAAATTATTGAATTCGAAAATTGAAAAATATTGAATTTGAAAATTGGAAAATATTGAATTTGAAAATTGAAAAATATTGAATTTGAAAATTTAAAAATATTGAAAAATATTGAATTTGAAAATTTAAAAATATTGAATTTGAAAATTGGAAAATATTGAATTGAAAAATTGAAAAATATTAAAAAATATTGAAAAATATTGAATTTGAAAATTGAAAAATTGAAAAGAATTAAATTAATTGCTAAATTAAAAAATTAATTAAAGACTTAAGACAACTTAAAAAGAAATTTTCTTCGATTCAAAGAAATAAATTTCTGAATGAACCAAAATATGATTTAATATTGAAATTATATTTGCTAAGGATAAATTATGAAATTACTGAAATATTTCTACGTCTGGTCCTAAGGACTTATGAATTTTATTAACTATTTTTGATTTGCTTTTCTTCGAAAATTGCTCAAAATTTACACTTTGCGTTGTATGAACATTCAATATAATCAAGTATATTATTAATTAATCTACCGAAGAAATATTTTCAGTAAAATTATAATTCATCAATCCTCGGACATTGAATTGTTTTCTTGAAACTTAAAAATATTTTCCAATGGAAAACTAAAAAAAAAAAAATAATAAAAGATTCAAATTCTTCAAATTTGCGTTGGTAATTACAGTTTAATACAAAAATTAGAACTGAAATTAATTTTAATCGTGTTTAAAATGATGGAAATGCATTAAACGACCATTTAGTCGATTTAAACAACCAGTTCAGTAATAATTAAATATTTTTGTAAACGCGATATTTATATCGAATAGACACGTCTTGAATCAGAATCTCAAATGTTTATTTACCTCAATAATGAGATGTCACGTACAACATTTATTTTATTATTTTTTTATATCAAAGAAACAGAAGCCTACAGTTCATTAAAAAAAAGAAAAAAAAACGCTGAAATCGTCAAAATAATCTCTTTAATGCTTTCCTCTTTGATTAGTTGTTAATTTCTGACAAATCTTTCTAAGAAGAGGAAGTAGACAATTTGCAATTATTATTTTTATTACAGTGTAGAAAAAAAACAAGCTATTGTTTTTTTTCACACTAATGAGACACTATTTTAAGACCAAAGACAGAATTGCGGCGAAACAAAATTGTATCGGACTTCTTTTTGAAATGGAGATTTTTTTAAAAATTATCAAAAAGATAAAGTAAAAAAAAAAGAAAATGGTAAAAAAATATTTGATATATTTTTGAATATTTTCATTTAGTCGTGAAATCTAATTTCAAAAAGAGGTCTTTACCATAGGTAGTATTACGAATTGTTCTCGTGTTTTTCTTTTACACGATTCTTATCCAGCGTTCATTAAGTATGTAGCCGATAAAGCATAATAATTATCTTTTGTGTGTGTGTCTATAAATTATTGTATTTGCCGAATAGTTTTGAAAAGAAATTGAAGCGTTTTCAATAACGTGTCCAAAATTAATCGTTTAAGAATTTATCTAATTATCGCTCGAGTCGGTATTATTTTAATTTGAAAATTATTTCAAACTAGAAAATAAATTAAAAATCGAATCAAAATTTTTAATTTTCAATATCAAAATTTCATTAAATTCAAATTTTATTAACAATTTGACAGTAATTATTATACTAATTATAGAAGATAAATTTTTATTTATCGATGACTAATTTATTAATTACCGTTTCAATATCTACTGATTCTGATTCTGATTCTGATTTTCAGAAAAACAAAAATAGAAAATACTACACAGGAAAAAAAAATATTTTTAAATTATTGGACAAGTTTTAACTGATAAAAATGATACTGACTCTATTGCTTTAAATTTAATTTGGTTCGTCGTCATTATTATTAAGAACAATTAGCAAAAATTTATAAATTTTAAAACATTTTTGTCTTGACAATGTGTGAAAAAAAATTGGAAAGCAAAAAAAATGTACCTAAAGATTTGGAAAATATTTTTCAATATTAGGTACATATTTAGATATTATATGTATATTTATTAACTATTTGACTGTAAAATTTGAGGCTAACTAAATTTTTTCTAGTTTTATTAGACTATTTCGATGACAGTTTTTTGGAAATAATCGAGAAATAATAATTTTAAGAATAATTTCCGTCAGAGATGAATAATAAAATTGTTTTTGATTGTCGATAGGCAAACAGAATTATTGTAATATCCGTATTTGAATAATTCGTATTATCGTATTTGAAAAAAGAAAAATTTTAGACGCACAAAAATTGAGTCAACTGAATCGAAAACAATCGAAAATTGTTTTTGATTGTCGAGAAGCAAACAGAAATCTAATTTCCGTATTTAAATTAATATTCGAATAATTCGTAATATCGTATTTGAAAAAAAAACATTGCAGACGTACAAGAAGTGTGTCAATCGAATCGAAAACAATTTTGTCATCTCTGATTACGATCTATAAAAATTTTACAAAATTTCCATAAAAAAATAAACTAAACTAATGAATTCGGGATAAATTATTATTTTCAATAATAATGTACTGTACGCTTCAGAAAAAAATTACACTCTCTACCATATTATGAGGAAAAATATTATTTTATTAAAATAATCAATTATTTGATCTGTTATTCTTTGAGGCAAAAAATTTTTATTTAAATAAAAATAAATAAAAATTAAAAAATAAATTAAATTCTGCATTTGGAACAAATCATAAATATTAAAAACTACTCCTGCGTCTAATAATAATTAATTAATTATTATTAGATAAATTCTAATAATAATTATTAAATTAATTATCTTTTTCTATAATTAAAAAAAAAAATTTGATAGAAAAAGGGGAATAAATAATATATTCGATAACAGTCAAGTAATCAATTAATTTAATTAAATAATATTTTTCCCCTGTATAAAAAAGGGGAAATTTCTTCTCAACGAGAATTTATATATAAACGAAAACATATATATTTTAATCAAACGACAAATTGAATCAGAACGCAATAGATAATAAAATAAAGAAATCTATATTTTTAATCACATTTTCAATAAAAATAGAAGTAGAGAAAAAGAGAAAAAGAGGAAAACAAAACGCATAGGATTCTACATAAAATGAAAAATAGTTTGTGAGAACTTCTGAGCATTTTGTTTTTTCGATATTTTAGATGCAGTCTCTATATTAGAGATTTTTGCGAATTTATATTATAGCGTTCGAAGCAAAGTGCGATTGAGTTTTCACGTTCAAATGAAATATTGTTAAAAAAAAAAAGAAAATAAACGATCGTTAATCGTTTTAATCGTGAAAACAATCTGTATATAAAAAATATTAATTAATGTATTTCCTCGAGAATATTCTCGAGGCCCTCAAACTGCCAATTAATTAATTAGTTAATTCAATAATACGTTCCCAGTTCAAACCGATAATTATTATTATTATTGGATTGAAAAAAAAAATTTTTTTTTCATGAAATGACGTTAAACGAGTGAATTGTTTTTTAATTTACTTGACTGAAATATAAGCATGAAGTGGAAATATTTAATTATAGTTCTAAATTCTCTTTTGGACCGAAAAAAAATAAAAATTATTGTTAATATTATTCCGAATTCGCTCGTGTTCTACGTCAGATCTTTATCTAATTTTACCTAGGATAGAAGAGTAAGGTGTTTCGAGAACATGTATTTTATATTACAAAACAAATGAAAATGTATAGATCAGAAGTTAAATTATTACAGAATTATTTATTACCAGTATAAGTGTGTTTTTATTTATCAACCCTTCATTGTGGTTATTTTTCTGTCGTATTTTTTATCCAATTTTAATGAAATCGTTACTTTTGCTAAAAATTTAAATTTTTATTTTCTATTAAATTTTATCTTTCATTTTTAATTTGAATTTATTTTCTTTTTATTTTACAATTTTTACTTTTACTTTACTTTACTTTTACTTTTACTTTTACTTTTACTTTTACTTTTACTTTTACTTTTACTTTTACTTTAAAATTAAATTTATTTTACTTTAAAAGTTTAAAATTAAATTTATTTTACTTTAAAAGTTTAAAATTAAATTTATTTTAATTTACAATTAAATTTATTTTTTGTTATTTGTTTTATTTTTATTTTATAAAATTAAATTTATAATTTATAATGAAATTTATTTTAATAAATAAATCATTTATTCATAAAAATCATTCATAAAATTTTAGAGTTTAATTTTTTCTCTAGTTTTCTATTGTATAAAGTTTTTCTAAGTTTAGGATTTTAATTTTTATTAAAAAATTTTAACTTTAATTGTTTATTTAAATTTACAATTTAAATTTATTTTAATGAAAAAATCATTACTTTATGGAATTTTAGGTTTCAATTGTTTTTAAAAAAGTTATTTCCTTCAGTTTTTATTAAAATTTATTTTATTTTTATTTTGCAATTAAATTTATTTTATTTTGTAATTTAATTTAGTTTAATTTCATTTTATAATTAAATTCGTTTTTATGAAAAAAATCATTCATTCATAAAATTTCAGAATTTAATTTTGTATTAAAAATTTTTTCTCTAGTTTTCTATTGTATAAAGTTTTAATAAGTTTTGGATTTTAATTTAAAGAAAATTTTCTCTTTAATTGTTTATTTAAATTTACAATTTAAATTTATTTTGGTAAAAAAAATTATTACTTTGTAGAATTTTAGATTTTAATTGTTTATTAAAATTTTTTTCTCCAGTTTTCTATATTTAAATTTATTTTAATAAATTCATGACTTTATAAAAAAAAATTTTATTTTTCACTAGAAATTGTTTTTCAGTTTTTTATCAGAAAATAAATTAAAACTATTTATAGGTATTTATATAGATAATTTTATTTGAGAAAAACTTTGTTTAATTTTAATTTTTCTAAAATGAACTCCGAAAAGGAAATTAATTTTTGTTTGTGCGAAAATAAATAAATTTGCTAATGGAAAAATTTTCTTTAAGAAGATTAAGCAATTATTAGAATTAGATAAAAATTACGAAAGTTTTTGCTTAAATTGGAGAAAGAGAAACATAAAATTTGTCATTAGAAAAATAATTGTCCGCACTGAAAGTAGCTTTAGAAAAATGTTAATTTTTTTTAATGACTCTTTCAAAGTGTGTTGAAATATATAATCTTAATTATTGTTTTCCTGGTCTTGTAATATCGTTTTTGGTTTAAAATCACGTTAATATACAACTTCCTTAAGGACATGCAATACCGGAAAATTTCTCACTTGACAAATTTTCCAATTAATAATAATTCAAAAATAATATTCATTTTATTAAATTTTATTAAAATTTTAATAAAATTATTTTTAGTCAAAAATTAAAAATTCATTAATATGAAAATAATTTTCCAATCAATTATTTATAAAAAAAAATAAATAATCTTAAAATAAAAATCTCAGTTTGGATTTCCGTGAATTTTTTTTTTCAAACAAATAATAGTATGTGAATCACGCAAACAATTTTTATTTGATTTTTTAAGTTTTGTTATCTTTTTCTCGAAGGAATTTTATTTGTATTATTGTCATCGTCAGACGATAAAATGTGCGTAACTGTTTTTCTTAAATACAAACTTAATGAAAAGTGAAATATTACGCAACGCACAATATACGATATAGGCCTCGGATTATATTTTTTTATTGACATTCGATGAAATGTGGAAATTTTTTTTTCGCCTTGTCAAGAATGCAAAAAATGAGAAAAAAATATTTTAGTGCAATTTATGCATTTTTCATTCAGTAAACATTTCGTATATTTCTTATAAACATTCTCATAGGGATACAAATAATACACTCACTCTCTTCAATAAAGAAAAAAAAAAGAAAAAAAATGGGGAATGAAAAGTATATTAAAGTGATTAGTGTGCCAATAACGGTCGAAAATAATAATACCAATTGAACCTCTAATCTGTTATTTTTCAAAGTATTTTACTTTCCGCGAAACAAGTAATTACAAATGTTAAAAGATTATTTCATTTGGGTCAAAAGAAAAATTTATTTCTTCCCAGTAAATTGCTATTCAAAAATTTACATAATGATGAGATGTTGTTTTTTCACAAAAGCACTAACTTCTCAAAGTCATGCATTAAAAATCAAATGTACGCTTGAATTTTATGTTTCTTTTTCTTTGCGATCAATTGAAATTATTCAAATTATAATTTAAATAATAATCTTAAATTTAAATTATAACTATAATTTAAATTTAAATCACATGATTTAAATGACAATTGAAATTATTTTATACGATTAATTTGGTGTTAAAATGTCAATTAATTTCAGGAGTGAAAAAAAATTTATTTGATTCAATTAACTGGTTAATTGCCTATTGTCAAATAAGTACAAACTTTAAGCAAGAAATTTTTTTTAAACCAAATTGTGTTTGAAAGTAATTTTATTTAATAAATTTATTATTTGAATAAAATACCATTTAATTACCAAATATAGAAATTGACATGAATATTTATTTGATAGGCAAGGAATCGATTATTTGAATGAAATAAATTTTTTTTTCGATTTTAAAATGAGTTGTTAATTGCAGAGAGGGAAATTGTGATTGGAACCGGAAATTGGAATTGTGGAAACGTATTTTTTCCCTCAATTTTTTTTAAGGATGTTCTAAACGGAAGTTCGTTAGGACGTTGGGCAATTTCGTGGAGAAACTGAAGTCGTGGTAGGCGGGCTTTGCGACCAGTAACGATACGAGGAAAACGATGAAAATCACTTAGCGAGAAACCCAGGCGTGGATAAGTGTTTCCAATTGCAACAACCAAAACATTACGACAACCTACATTTGAAACCTGTCGTGTCGTCCTTAACTGCAAATCAACTCACACACACATCATCATCTATACAAACACAATTTTCTTTTCAATTGTGTGTCTATTATGTACATCAATTTATCCTCGACAAATATTTATTTCGGCAAAAATCGCCAACGGATGAAAACCGACCTTTAATTATCAAAATCCTATTTTTTGATAGTTATAATTTCTCAATCATAACGAGAGAGTAAGTCTATTTTTGTATCCTTTTTTCATATTTCAATTTACGGTAAAATTGTTCCTTGAAAATTTCATTTTATGTTTTCTCGTATTTCTCTATTTTTAAAATTGTATTTTGTTTTAAAAAGAATTTTTCTGCGAACAAATGAAATGAGTTCTTTGGAAGTTAAGTGTCGCCAATGCGGAAGTTGATCTCCATTTCCATACGATCGTGAGTTCAAGGATTGGAATTCATTCACGATGTCCGTTACCAGGAATAAAATGTAAATTATTCTTGTTGATGATGGTTCTTTTTATGAATGCTTTGGCCATTAATGATTTTTATTGCTTTTTTTTAATTACTTTATAGTCAATGCGAAATTACTCATCGATGTTTATTTCTAACTTCGATTATTGTGCATTTTATTTTCAATGAGTGTTGAGAAATGGTATTTATTCACTAAAATTTGTCGATAAAAATAGAAATTTATTAATAAATATAATATTGAAGTAGTAAATTTACAAATTAGGGAATAAAATTTAACGAAAAATTCTATTGATGAATTTTAATATCAGGTTGGTGCACTTGGTCCCATTGAACTCATATATTTACTGAATGCCGCATAAAGGTGACCTGCTCTTTGAACTTCTTCCGCTCTGGAAAAAAATTGCAATATTGAATTAATTTTCATATGTAATTTATAAATAATTTCCATATATGCACATGAATATTCTTCACGTTTGACTATTTTTCTCGTGTCTAATTCTAAATCAATTTTTTATTTTGCACATTTTTATAAATTATTTATAAAATTTTGCAAAACATAATTTAGAGTAACAAAAACATTTTGAATATTTTTTACTTAAAAGAATTTCTACTTAACGAATTTTCAAATTGACACTTGTTCGAAATTATAAAAACGATCGAATAACAATAAAAACGGCAAAATGATTTCAGAACGAATTTATAAAAAATGAACAAATCATAAAATGAAAATGCGGCATTTTAAGAATTCTAACAATTGACAATTCGTGAAAATAAAAAATTCGGAAAAATGAAGATTCGTAATATAAATTATGACATTTAGGAAAGAATCAAACAAACAATCGGACTTAAAAATTAGTTCAAAAATTTTAATAAAATAAATAAAATTTATCAAAGAAATTCAGTTATTTTAAAAACCTTTGCTACAATCTATTTATTAGAATTTAAGTATTATTTTCAATACATTTTTTAATAAATTTCTTTAAAGAATTAAATTATTTTAAAAGGTTTTAATGAAATTCTTTGCATATTCAATTTTTTTCAGAATAATTGTAATAAAATTCTCGTCAAAATTTCAATTAACTTTATAAATAATAATAAAATTATTCTCTAGAATCCAATTGATTAAAAATTTTTTCTTTAAATTCTCGTCAACATTTTAATTAGCTTTTTAAAAAATCAAATTCTCGTCAAATTTCAATTATCTTTAAAAATAAAATTATTCTCTTAAATTCAATTATTTTTGAAATTTTTAAAAAATTTTTCGTCAATTTTTAATTATCTTAAAAAAAATCAAATTCTACTCTGAAATTCAGATATTTTCAAAAATTATAATAAAATGCTCGTCAAAATTTCGATTATCTTTATAAATAATAAAATTATTTTCTAAAATTCAATTATTTTCAAAATTTTTTTTAAATTCTCGTCAAATTTCAATTATCTTTAAAAAAAATTAAATTATTTTCCTAAATTCAATTATTTTCTAAAATTTTAATAAATTTGTTGGCAAAATTTCAATTATCTTTAAAAATATTACAATTATTCTCTAAAATTCAATTCTTTTCAAAAAATTTTTTTAATTCTCGTCAAATTTTAATTACCTTAAAAAAATGAAATTCTACTCCGAAATCCAGATATTTTCAAAAATTTTAATAAAACTCTTGACAGAATTTCAATTATTTTTAATACAATTTTCATCGAATTTCTCGAAAAATGAAATTATTGTTTAAAATTTTATTAAAATTTGTCAAGAGAATTCAATTGTTTATAAATTTGTTGATAAAATTCTTTATGAAAATTTAATTTTAAAAAACATTCAATTGTTTAATAAAATATTTATTTTTGTATTGAAATAATTGAAGTCTCGTAGAATTTTCTAATAAATATTATTGATTAAAAATGAATTTCAAATTAAAATCTTTGAAAATTTGAACTTTTCATACTTTTAATTAAAAATTATGTAGAATTAATTTTTCTCAAAAAGTTTAATGGAATTTTTTTTGAATTATTCGAAGTGTTTAATTTTTAATATATATTTAATTGAAGAATGTGAGAATAATCGAAATTTTGTAAAATTAAATTGTAAACAAAAGAATTTGAAAATTCACAAAGAAGTTTTTCAAAAATAATTTTTAGAAAAATTGAATTTAATTATTATAAAACATGAAGAAAGCGATCTCTCCGAGTCAAAGACTCGGAGTTATCGATATCTTCATGTTTTATAATAATATTCTTAAATGTTATTGAATTTCAAATTTTTGAATATCTTAATTTCTATAAAAAAAATAATGATTAAATATTTATTTAAAAAAGAAGTTATTGATATTTTCGAATAATTTTTGTTTTAAAAACCAGTAAAAATTCCGTTTTTTAATCTGGAAAAGTCAGGGAATTTGAAAAAAGCAAAAGCGTGGCAACCCTGAATATGAAACTCACTTTAAATCGTTTAAATCTCGCTCCTTGTGAGCAATAATTTCCTTGAGTTGCTTCCTCTCCTTGTCCTTCTCGCGAAGTTCCTCGACATGATTCGTTTGTATTTCATTGATTTGCGTATTTAATGATGTAATTTGCAAAGACATTTTTTGTATTTGAATATTTTGCTCCCTCAATCTGGAACGCTCCTCTATTAATTCGTCCTTAAATCTCTCGGCCTTCTTCTTTTCCTGATCGAATTCCTCGTGCAGGAGATTATAACGTCTTTGTGGTTCGACTAATTCGGCCTCAAGACATGCCACTTGACGTTGAAGAGTTGCAATTGTTCTCTGTGAATCGCTATATTTATCCTCGAATGCTTCCTTTTCTTCTTTAACTTTCAACAATGAATCCTCAATTCTCACGCACTTTTGAGCGAAATGATCCAATTCCTTGAGTTTCGCTCTTAAATTCGATTGACTCTCGAAGGAATCTCTCAATTCGGTTCTTGTTTTTTGCAATTGATTTTGACACTGCTCGAGAGATTCGGTCGATTCTTTTAGGGATTGTTTGAGAATGTTTAATTCTATTCTGTGTCTACTCTCGCGTTCCTTGAGTTCGCGCCTCAATCTGTGGATTTCCGTTTTACCTGAAAAATTGAAAATTTTAATTTCGATTATTCGGAAATTCTTAAATTAAATATAATAAAAACTTTAAATAATTTAATAAAAAATTCAATTGAAATTTTTTCGAAAAATTAGTTCTACAGAATTGTTAATTAAAAGTATGAAAAATTCAAATTTTCAAAGATTTTAACTTCAAACTTTTTCAAAACTCAATTATTTCTAAAAATCCACGTCATAATGCTTTTAATATTCAATTATTAATTATTATCAAAAATTTTAACTAAAATACATTTTTAAATCAATTTTAATTAAAAAATTCTACGAGAATTCAATCATTTCAATACAAAAATAAATAATTAAAATAATTGAATTTCTGTAATGTTATTAAATTTTTTTAAAATAATACAATTATTATTTTAAAAAATTTTGTTAAAATAGTAGATATTAAAAATCATTGAAAGGAGGAAAATCTTTGAAAATAATTTAAATTTTGCCATGAATTTTAATAAAATTTTTGAAAATAATAAAATTTTAATGAAAAATTTTATTATTTCTAAGGATAATTGAATTTCGGAGAAAAATTTTATTTTTTAAAGATAATTGAAATTTTGATGAGAATTTTTAAAAATTATTGATATTTATTGAATTTTGCAAACAATTTTATTAAAATTTTTGAAAATAATTGAATTTTAGAAAAAAAATTTTATTATTTATATAAAGATAATTAAATTTCTACGAAGAATTTTATTATTTATTAAGATAATTAAAATTTTGACGAGAATTTTAATTTAATTTTTGAAAATAATTGAATTTCGGAGAAAAATTTTATTTTTTAAAGATAATTGAAATTTTGATAAGAATTTTAAAAAAATTTTCTAAATTATTGCATTTCAGAGATTAATGTTTTTATTTATAAAGATAATTGAAATTTTGACAAGAATTTTATTTCAATTTTTGAAAGTAATTGAATTTCGGAGAAGAATTTTTTTTTTTTTAAATAATTAAAATTTTTACGAGGATTTAAAAAAATTTTCTAAATAATTGCATTTCAGAGATTAATTTCTTTAATTTATAAAGATAATTGAAATTTTTGACGAGAATTTAATAAAATTTTTGAAAATAATTGAATTTCTACAAAGAATTTTCTTACTTTTAAAAATAATTGAATTTTTGTAATAATTTGTATTTGCTTCAAAATTCAATTTTTTTAGTGTTTTTAACTAAAAAAAATTATTAAAATTTTTGAAAAATCTGATTTTTAAAAATATTTTGAATTAAATTCATTTAAAATACAAATTTTTTTAAATCTTTAGTTAAAACCTTATGAAGTTTATCTATTTATGAAAATTTTAAACGATAGTACTTTAAATTTCAATTAATTTTGAAATATTTAAGTAAAATTATTCATTAAATAATTTGTAAGTAATAATTTTATGATAGTTGTTCAAGAATTATTTGAAAAGAAATTATTGTCAGGAATAGAATTAATTGTAAGGAAATAGAATTTACCTGTAGAAATGAGATCTTCGTAAGCTCGAGTGCTAGACAAGAGTTTTTCCCTTAATGCAAGAATTTCCACCGAACTCTTGTGAATATCTTTCTCGTATTTTCGAACTTTCAGATCAACATCTTTCTTCAATGAGAGAATATTAGTGAAAGAATCTTCCAAATCCTTTTTGCCTCGCTCCCACATTTCCTTCTCTTCTATTTGATTTTGTTGCAGATCACTGATCTCCTTTACCTTGTGTAAAATTAAATCCTCCTTTTCAACTTTCAGTCTTGTAATTTCTCCCTCAAGTTTACTGATCTGTGACTTGGCGTCTACTAATTCCGTCTGCTTCGATTTAATTTCATTCGTTAAAAGATCAATCGCCGAAGTTCTCTCATGGAGAATTTGATTGAGTTCCTTAATTTTACAGTTGACTTGCGGATCTTTGGCATTTTTATCGCCCATCAAAACATGAATGGATGATTTTGAATTTGTTTCCGCCGTCTTGATGGCAGCTTTTAAACGTGAATCTGAATCTGAGTCACTCGGGGAAATGAGAGGATTCTCATTGTCTTCGGATACGGGAAGTAGAATTTTGTCTCTGTCTCGTCTTCGTATTTTCTTTTTCGAATATTTCGTTTTTGTTTTCGTCACTTTTTCATTGTCATTCGAGAAAATTGGAGAGACATTTTCTTTTGAATAATTTTTCTTTACTAATTCGATACTTGTTTTGGAAATTGCTTGTCGTCGTTTATTCTCAAAAGCGCATTGTTCAATGGATTCCATGAGATCGTCGGGTAAACAATTCCCTCGTAGATTGAGGGTGGTGATTGTTTTATTTTCGTGCATTCCATTTAGTATTTGGTGTCCACCGTCGAGTCCAAGGGTATTCCAGGCTAAATCGAGTGATTTCAGTGATTTATTGTATTTTAACACTTTTAGTAGAGAATCGGCGCAATTTGGCGATATTTGGTTGTATTTCAGATCGATTTCCTCAATATTGTGATTTTTGGAGAGGCCGTCGCATAAAAGGGAGAATGATTCGACATTTGATCCTAAACTATTCCATTCGAGATGTAAACATTTTAGAGTGTTATTGCAGAGGAAAACTTGACCCAATTGTTGAGCGATAGGACCGCTGATGCTGTTGCCTTTTAGATTGAGATTTGTCACACTGGAACCGTCGCAGAGTGCATTGAGAATATTGTTGAGTCCTTTTGGCAGTAACATACAATCGCTGAGATCCACGTGTTTTATCGACGAACTGGACGCTAACATTTGACTCAAAACTTCACAAACTGGAATTATTAACGAGAGGCAGGATAATTTCAATTCCCCAGTAGAACTGAAATTGAAAAAAATTATTTAATTTGTATTTTTCCTTCCTCACAGAGAAATTATTATCAATTATCATAGAGGATAATATAATCAGTTCTAGTTAAATAAGAGAACATTTTACTTAAAAGTAGAAATTAAATTTATTCATTACTATAAAACATGAAGATATAGATGACTCCGAGTCTTCGACTCGGAGTGATCGGTATCTTCATGTTTTATAATAAAGTCCGATTACTTTCAATTTTAAAGAACTTAGAGTTTTCAAAATTTTTAAAAATTGAAATTCTTCTAAAATTAGTTACATTTTTCAATACATATTTAATTAATTATTCAGCATAATCTATAATCCATTGATTTGTAGATGAATTTTAGTTAAAAACACTAAAAAAATTGAATTTTACAGTAAAGTTACAAATAATTGCAGAAATTTAATTATTAAAAACAAAATTAAATAAATAAAATAAAATTCTTCTCTGAATTCAATTATAAAAAAAATTGAAATACATAAAATAAAATTATTTTCCGAATTTTAATAAAATTCTTGGCAAAATTTTCATACAATAGTAGATTTATTGAATATTATTGAATTGGGGAAAATTTTTGAAAATAATTGATATTTTCACAAGAATTTAAAAAAATTTTTAAACATAATTAAATTTCTGCGAAGAATTTTATTAATTTTGAAAATAATTGAAATTTTGACGAGAATTTAAAAAAAAAATTGAAAATAATTGAATTTTAGAGAAGAATCTTATTAGTTTCGAAAAAAATTGAAATTTTAACGAGAATTTAAAAAAAAAATTGAAAATAATTGAATTTTAGAGAAGAATAATTTTGAAAATAATTGAAATTTTGACGAGAATTTAAAAAAATTTTTGGAAATAATTGAATTTTAGATAAGAATTTTATTATTTAAAAGGATAATTGAAATTTTGGAAAATAAATTAATTTAGAAAAGAATTTTATTATTTATAAAAATAATTGAAATTTTGCTAAAAATTTTATTAAAATTTTAGAAAATAATTGAATTTTGGAAAACAATTTCATTTTTATTTAAAAATAATTGAAATTTTGACGAGAATTTTATTAAAATTTTAGAAAATAATTGAATTTTGAAAAACAATTTCATTTTTATTTAAAAATAATTAAAATTTTGACGAGAATTTAAAAAAATTTTTGAAAATAATTGAATTTTTTATGGCAATTTTATTTAACTTTTTGAAAATAATTGAATTTCAGAGAACAATTTTTTTTTTGTTTAAAGATAATTAAAGTTTGATGAGAATTTTATTAAAATTTCTAAACATACTTGAACTTTTGCAAAGAATTTTATTACTTTTGAAAATAATTGAATTTGAAACCTTTTCAAAATCCAATTATTTCTAAAAATTTATGTTTTAATATTTTTCATATTGAATTATTATTCAAAATTTTAAATACAAAATTTAAATAAATTAGAAAAATTTGTATTAAAAAATTCTTCGAAAATTTAATTATCTCAATTCAAAAATTAATAATTTATTAAATAATTGAATGTCTCTTAAAGTTGAATTCTCATAAAGAATTTTATCAACAAATTTTTTTAGTAATTGAATTCTTTTGACTAATTTTAATAGAGTTTTTAAGAATAATTTCATTTTTCGAGAAATTTGATTAAGATTATATTAAAAATGATTGAAATTCTGTGATAAGTTTTTATTATTTATGAAAATAATTAAAATCTTAAAAAGAATTTTATTATTTATCGAAAATAATGAATCCCTCTAAAAATATTTATTATTTATGAAAATAATTGAATTATTGCGAAAAAATTTGTAAATAATTGAATTCCTGTAAAATTTTTCGAAAATAATTGAAAATTTATCAAAGATTTTATTAAAATTTTCGAATATAATTGAATTTCGGGGAAGAATTTTATTATTTATAAAGATAATTGAAATTTTAACGAGAATTTAAAAAATTTTTTTAAACATAATTGAATTTCTGCAAAGAATCCTATTACTTTTGGAAATAATTGAATTTCTGCAATTATTTGTAATGTCTCTAAAATTCTTCAAATTGTATCGTAGAAAATATTTGTTGAACGGATAAAATGAAAATTTATTTCAAAACAATATTTTTAAACTCACCTGCCAAGTTTGATAGCCTCTGAAACGTCAAGTGGCGCCAAAATTCCACGTTTTTCGCACATTTGCACAAACAATTCGTAATCATTCAACATTTTTGCAAGTCACACTACGAAATTTTTAAATCTCTTCGTAATAAATAAATCATTTTGTACTTCATAAAAGACAAACTTTTGATTTTGACATAACAACCCTCGACTGAACACATGACGCCACAGACTAGCCACCTGCAAATTATCGTTACATCAGTGCCGTATCGAAAATTGTACAAGCCCTTTTATTTCCAAAAACATTATTCTTTTCACTAATGTATAAAATTTTATCAAAAATAATTTTAGAATTTCGAAAAAACTTAAAAAACTATATATGAATTTAGAGATATTTTGATAGAATTGTTTACATTTCGGAACGCCTGCTCATTGATAACCCAACTTACTTCTGTGTTCAACTTTCCTTTTCGTGATATGATTATTTTATGTTTAAAAATAGTCATTACAGACTGAAAAAGGAATTACTTTTAATTAGTGACTAAAAAAATAAACTTTTCTACTTTTAATAATTCTTTTTATCTTTTTATAAAATATAAAGAAGAAAATTTTGCAGGTAAGTTTAAATAAGTTTGATTCTGCGCAGACTTAATCTGCAAACTGTCATGGCGGTTAAAGTATTTCCTTCATCCCGACATCCGGTGCGGTGCAAGTGTTGACGCGTTTGTAGTGTAAAAGGTGTATTTTCTCATTTTCAAAAATGAGTTTTAATGATGATAGTGGTTTGCAAGACGATGCCAATGATAAAGATGATAGGGCTCATTTCGTTGCACCGGTAATTCAAGATAATCCAGATGGATGGGGTCCTTTTGGATTACTCGATCCATTCAAAGACATGCCGTACCAGCCATTTTCCAAAGGAGATAGGCTCGGCAAGGTAAGACATATGCCCACGAGAATAATTAAAAATTTTATTATTCTCCAAGTATTCAGTTTTTATAATTATTTCTCGATTTTACAGATTGCAGATTGGACGGGATCTGCATTCCAGGATAAGAAATTTACAAGTGAGTTCATTGTTTTCTATGGTGGCAAACATAACCTTAAAAAATTAAATGGCAACTCCGGAAATGTGAATGCGTGTATTTTTTTCGCATTCTTTTATTTCAAACGGCGAAATACTTGGTAGAAAATTGGTATTTAATTTGGGTTGTATTGATTTTACTGTTATTACTGGTGAATAAGCTTTTAGTTTATTCTGTGACAGTGAAAGTAGTAAAAATTTAGTTTTTTGCAAAATTTAAAAAACGAAAATCCAAATTCTTTTGAAATTTAGTTAAATTTTTTAATGTTTATTTAAATAATTAATAAAAATAACGGATTTATAGAAGAATTTTAGTTAAAAACGCTAAAAAGTTGAATATTGGGGAATTTACAAATGATTGCAGAAATTAAATTATTTTCAAAAATTTTAATAAAACTCTTGGCAAAATTTCAATTATCCTTATAAATAATAAAAATTTTTCTCAGAAATTTCAAAAATTTTATTAAATTCTCGTCAAAATTTCAATTATCTTTATAAATACAAAAAATATTCTCTAAAATCCAATTATTTTTAAATATTTTTTTAAATTCTCGTCAAAATTCAATCATTTTTAAAAAAGAAAAAAATTTTTTCAAAAATTGAATTATGTTCAAAAATTTTATTAAATTCTCGTCAAAATTTCAATTATCTTTATGAATAGTAAAATTATTCTCTAAAATTCAATTATTTTCAAATTTTTTTTAAATTCTCGTTAAATTTCAATTATTTTTAAATAAAAAATAAAATTCTTTTCCGAAATTCAATTATTTTCAAACCTTTTATTAAATTCTTGTCAAAATTTCAATTATCATTATAAATAGTAAAATTATTCTCTAAAATTTAATTATTTTCAAAATATTTTTAAAATTCTCGTCAAATTTCAATTATCTTTAAAAAAAAATAAAATTCTTTTCCTAAATTCAAATATTTTCAAAAAATTTATTAAAATTCTTGTCTAATTTCAATTATCATTCAAAAAAATAAAATTTTTCTACGAAATTCAATTATTTTCTAAAATTTTAATAAAATTCTTGGTAAAATTTCAATTGTCTTTATAAATAGTAAATTTATTCTCTAAAATTCAATTACTTTCAAAATTTTTTTAAAATTCTCGTCAAATTTCAATTATCTTTAAAAAAATGAAATTCTTCTCGAAATTCAATTATTTTCTAATTTTCTTTTAAATTTCGTCAAAAATTCAATAAATTTTATAAATAATAAAATTATTCTCTAAAATTCAATTATTTTCTGAAATTTCAAAACATTCTCGTCAAAATTTCAATTATTTTAAAAAAATTTTTTTAGAATTCTACGCAAACATTTAATTATTGTCATAAATAATAAACATTTTACAGGACTTCAAATATTTACAAATTTTTTATAAATTTGTTCTCAATAATTCAATTATTTTCATAAATAATAAAAATCATCGCAGAATTTCAATTATTTTTATGACAATTTTAATCAAATTCGTCGTTAAATATAATTATCCTTAAAATTTTTATTAAAATTCGAAGATAAAATTTAATTATTTCAATAATCCAATTCTTTTGAAATTATTTAATGTTTTTATTTTCTAATATTTATTTAATTGAAGAATTTACGAATAAATTAAAATTTCGTAAAAATGGATTTGAAAATTCTCAAGGAACTTTTGCAAAAAATTATTATAAATAATTGATTTAAAGAAGAATTTTGGTTAAAAATTGAAAATCTTTATTCCTATGAAAAAATAATTCTTCCTTAAGAAGAATTGTTTTTAAGTTAATTAATATTCTAATAGTTTTTAATATTTCTAATAATTCTTATAATATTTCTAATAGTAAATTAAATTTTTTTTTTAAGTTAAAATTTAAATTCTATCAAGTTTATTAACATTAATTCTATTCAAATTTTTTTCCAAATTGTTAACCTTCTGGAGTTTGAATTTAATAGCAAATTTCAAATAATAAAAACGTTTAACTAAATTGTACTCGAATTAAAACAATAGAATTATAATTATAATAGGCTTTTGGACAAAAATTACAATAATAATTCTTTTTTAGATAAATATGCATCCCAATTTGGTTCTGGAAGCCAATACGCCTACTATCATGACGAGGATGAGTCGACATTCCATCTGGTGGACACCACGAGGGTGCAGAAACCTCCATATCAACGAGGACGTTACGGCAGGCATAATCAACGCAACATGCGTGGTCGTGGCAGTCAGCGTGGTGCAATGAACCAGATGCAAGCACTAGGCAAGTTGAAATTGCGCGAACGTGAACGTAAGGGACAAACAAAACGTTGGGGTCGTCAGCAAGGTTTCCGAAATCATAAAAATCAACCACCAATTAAGATTCGTGACGCCTCCGTCACTGTACGTCCCGATTGGGTGACCATCGAGGAAATGGATTTCCCACGTTTAGCAAAACTCTCACTTCCTGGCGTCAAAGACGGCGAGGATGTTCTCTGCTGTGGTTCTCTCGAATACTACGACAAATCCTATGATCGCGTCAATGTGAAAAATGAGAAACCCCTGCAAAGAATTGATCGCATTTTCCACACTGTCACAACAACTGACGATCCAGTGATTCGTAAACTTTCCAAAACCGAGGGCACTGTTTACGCCACCGACGCAATTCTCGCTACAATTATGTGCTGCACACGCAGCAATTATTCCTGGGATATTGTCATTGAGAAAATTGGCGACAAACTATTCTTTGATAAGCGCGACAATACTGAATTTGATTTACTCACCGTTAACGAGACAAGCGTTGAGCCACCGCAAGATGATGGCAATTCATTGAATTCACCAAGAAATTTGGCTCTGGAAGCCACATTCATCAATCATAATTTCTCACAACAGGTTCTTAAATCAAACGAACCGCGTTATAAATTCGATGAGGGTAATCCATTCATTTCCGAAGAGGAGGAGAGCGACGTTGCCAGTGTCGCTTATCGTTATCGTAAATGGGATTTAAATAACGGAATTGTATTAATTTCAAGATGCGAACACGACGCCGTGATGCAGGGTCCAAATAACGAGACACAATTCTTAACCGTCAAAGCATTGAATGAATGGGATTCGAAACTCGCCAATGGCGTTGAATGGCGTCAGAAATTGGACACACAACGTGGCGCTGTACTCGCCAATGAATTGCGTAATAACGCCTGTAAATTGGCGAAATGGACAGTTCAAGCACTGCTCGCTGGTTCTGATCAAATTAAATTTGGATACGTTTCGAGAGCAATGGTACGCGACTCAAGCAAACATGTTATTCTCGGCACACAACAATACAAACCCAATGAATTTGCAACTCAAATTAATCTCAATATGGATAATGCCTGGGGTATTCTGAGATGTATCATTGACATCTGCATGAAGCAAAAGGACGGAAAGTATCTAATCATGAAGGATCCGAATAAGCCAATGATTCGTCTCTACGATATTCCTGATAATACTTTCGAGAGCGAGGGCGATGAAGACGACGATGATGAACCTATTAATGACGCCTTCCAAAGTTAACGGACACGTCCAGTTTCAATCAATTGATTTTCTACAAGAATCTACAAATTTTTTACAGTAATTTATATTGCCAGGACGAATAATTATTATCGTTGTGAAAAGCATTTATTACTGTGATAATAAAAGAAAAAAGCACAATTTGGAAGTCAAATATCTTGACATTTATTTTCTCTAAATCAATTTTTTCAGTTTGAATTTAATCAAGTTCTATAATTTTTTGTCACTTTGTCCATTTTGTTTTGAAATCTTTTTTTATCACTTTTTTACTAGAAATAATATAATATTTTTTTATAATAGAGTATTATATTATTTATTATAAAAAATAAAAGGAGGAAAATGGGTATTTTTTATTGGCAAATGAAATTTTTTATTATTTACAATTACCATGACACTGTGTGACAGTTGAAAATTACTTTAAATCGGAACTATTCTAACTTTTTGTTTTAAAAAACTAAAAAATGGTGTTAAATCACTGAAACACTTCCAAAATTAAATTTAAGAGCTTAAAAAAAACGTTTTTTTAGTTCTTGCACAGTTTTCTTGAGGATATAAAATTGAGACAAAAATCGAATCAAAACGTTGCTTCGCAACATTTTTTATTCGTTTTTTGTCTCAATTTTGATATCTTCAGAAAAAGTGTGCATAAAAAAGTAGAAAATTAATTATGATCAAAAGTTTTTTTAAATTTTCGTTAAAATTTCAATTATCTTTATAAATAATAAAATTCTCAAAAAGTCAATTATTTTCAAAAATTCTCGTCAAAATTTCAATTATCTTTAAAAAAAAAAAATTAAAATTTATCTTGGAAATTCAATTATTTTCAAATTTGAATAAAATTTGAGGCAAAATTTCAATTATTTTCGAAAAATTTTCCAGAAATTCAATTATTTACAAATTTTTTATTTTCTTCGCAATAATTCAATTTTTTTCATAAATAATACAATTTTTTACAGAGATTAAATTAATTTCATAAAAGATGAAATTTTTTTCAAGAATTCAATTATTTTTATAAATAATAAAAATTCACCCACAGAATTTTAATCATTTTTAATACAATTATTTTAATCAAATTCCTCGAAAAATGTAATTATTCTTAAAAATTGTATTAAAAATCGTCAAAAGAATTTCAACAATTCAATGATTTTCAATATCTATTTTAATTGAATTTTCCAAAAGAATTCAATTATTTAAAAAAATTTATTAATAAAATTCTACGCAATCATTGAATTATTTTCAAAAGTAATAAAATTCTTTGCAGAAATTCAATTATGTTTATAAATTTAAAAAAAAAATTTCGTTGAAATTTCAATTATCTTTATAAATAATAATATTCAATTATGTTTATAAATTTAAAAAAAAATTCTCGTTGAAATTTTAATTATCTTTATAAATAATAAAATTCATTTCCAAAATTCAATTATCTTCAAAAATTTTAACAATTCGATGATTTTCAATACCTACTATTTTAATAAAAATTTCCATAAGAATTCAATTATTTAAAAAAAAGTTCAATAAAATTCTACGCGAACATTTAATTATTTTCAAAATTAATAAAAATTTCATAGCAATTCACATCTGTTATTTACAAATTTTTTATAAATTTCTTCGCAATAATTTAATTATTTTCATAAGTAATAAAATTTTTTACAGAGTTTTGATTATTTTTGATAAATAATAAAATTCTCTTCAGGATTTTAATTATTTTCAATACAATTTCATTAAAATTTGTCGAAAGAATTTAATTATTTAAAAATTTGTTAATAAAAGTCTCTAAGAGAATTCAATTTTAAGAAACATTAAATTATTCAATAAATTACAGATTTTTGTATTAAATAATTGAATTCTCGTCGAATTATCTAATAAAAATTAATTTAAAAATAAATTTCAGTAAAAGTTATTTTAGATAATAATTGAATTATACTTAAAGCACTATAGGATGAATTTTTAGAAATAATTGAATTTTGAAAAAGTTTAAAACTAAAATCTTTGAAATTCTGAATTTTCCATACATTCAATTAACAATTCTGTAGAACTAATTTTTTGGAAAAATTCTAATTCCAATTCTTTTGAAATTATGTGGTGTTTTTATTTTCGAAAATATATTTAATTGTAAATAAATGGATTTGAAAATTCTCGAAGAATTTTTTAAAAAATCATTAAAAATATTTGATTAAAACATTTTTTTAAAATTTTTAATCATTTTTAGAGTGTAAACAAATGGATTTGAAAATTCTCAAAGAACTTTTTGCAAAAATCATTAAAAATATTTGATTAAAACATTTTTTTTTGAGTTTCTAATCATTTTCAGAGTGTAAACAAATGGATTTGAAAATTCTTAAAGAACTTTTTGAAAAATCATTAAAAATATTTGATTAAAACATTTTTTTTTGAGTTTCTAATCATTTTTAAAGTGAATTCTACGGGGTTTAATTCTTTAATTCGTTTATTATTCTTTTTTAATATTTTTTAGGGTCAGGGAAAAAGTCAACATTTTTTCTGGAAATCAGGGAAAAAGAAAATTAAATTTTTCTGGCAACCCTGAATTATAGTAATTAGTTCTTTTAACTATTTTTTGATAGTCAATTCAAGTTTTTAAATTCAGTTGAGAACTTATTGAATTATTGAGAGTAGTTGAAAAGTAAACAAATCTACCAGAATTTTTTTTTTTATTGTAAGATAGGTCCGATTTAAAGTAATTTAACTTTTTTGAAAGACTATAATCAGTTTTCTAATTCTTTTATGACGTAGGAGAATTTACGAATGGCCGCACTGACCATTTCGTCGTCGATTTCATAATAGAGGACAAACCTCGCAGAATGTGGAGTTAAGGCCATTCCTCGGACAATTATTTTATCATCATCGTGATTGCTGTTGGTTGTTTTCAAACGCTGGACAAAATCTCGAGACGTAATTTTATCCGAAGATATTTTCACAAAAAGCATATTTGTCTGCACTTCGTCTAAATTGACAGTTATAATTTTCGAATTGAGATCATTAATTGCCTTTGCAATTGCGTAAGTTCTCCGATGATCATTGTGTAGCGATGGTACAATTTCCTTTAAAGCAATTAATCCAGCAGCGGCGAGAATACCAACTTGTCGCATACCGCCGCCCAAAACTTTTCTTATTGATCTTGCATTTTCAATGAACGATTTTGATCCGCACAATAGAGAGCCGGCGGGCGCTCCTAAACCTTTACTGAGACAAAATGTCACGGAATCAAAATGAGAAACTATATCCTTAACTGCTATTTTAGATGCTATCGAGGCATTCCATATTCTTGCACCGTCCATGTGTAATTTCAGTGAATGCTTCTTTGTTATTGATGACAATTCATTTATCCAGGATTGAGGTACAATTTTACCATTGAATGTATTTTCTACAATTACCAATTTTGATATTGGCTCATGTTGTCTGTCGCCTTTTATTTTTGATTGCAATTTTTTTAGATCAAACGTTCCGTCAGTATTGTTTGGTAAAGGGCAAAGTGTAACGCCGGCTATTTGAGCAGCACCTCCCTGCTCGTGTAGCATTACGTGAGAATCTTCTCCGCAATAGGCCTCGCAACCGCGAATGTTGCAGTGATTCATGACTGGAAGACATAATCGTAATTAATCGTAAGTATATGATTCGGATTTTTATCGAAGAAAAATAGGATTAAATCATGGGCGAAAGTTTGCTCTTTTTAATTCAATATTTAGTAAATTGCTCTTTTTATTTTAAGAGAATTAAATTTTTGTTAGAATTAATTAATTTATTAATAATAAATAATAATTTATTATTTACTTATTAATTTATTCATTAATTCTCAAAACTCTAAAAAATATTCCTTATGAGAAAAAAAAGAAATAACTGTTTCTAATTAAAAAATTCCGTTTAATATTTCATTCATCAATTCGATTTTTAAAAGTCCCTGTAAATTTTTTTCTAAATTAAAAATTATTGCCGAAAATTTTCATATTTTATGCTATTCAACTGCAATTTAAAATTTTTAATGTTTTAAGTAAGAAATAATTTTTTATTACGCATTTGTTAAATAACATTTAAAGGCAAAATAATTAAATAATATTTAATTATTTTTTAGTTTTTAAAATTAACTATTGAATTATTTTCTTGTGCATTCACAGGTCTCGGACTTTTTTATACTCATTTTCGAAAAATTCGACCTTCTCGACTTTTCTTAAAAATATATTGTAACAAAATACTTTGCAAAATTATTTTTGAATAATATTTTTAAAAATAATTACAATTTCGAAATAAAAACTTTCGTTTTTAAATGAAAATTTTGAAAATAATTAATTGATTAAATTAAATGATTGAAATTTTGTAAAATTTTATGGAAAATAATTGATTATTTTAAAGCATTTCTTATAAATTTTTAGAAAATCCAGTTTTAAAGAATATTAATTGTGAATTTTTGAAAATAATTGAGGAGCAAATTTTAGTGAATAAACTTCAAATTAAAATTTGAAGGCAAAAATTAACGAAAATTAAAGTGGAATATTTTTTGAAAAAAGTAATTCTTGGAATTTTTTTCAATTCTAATTATCTAAAATTCAATTTTTTTAAAAATATTTTCAATTACATATTCCCAGAAATTCAAAAATCTACAAAAGTTTAAAAATTTATTATCAATTATTTAAAAAAGTATAATCTTGGAATTTTTATCATTCTATTCTTTTTAAATTCAATTATTTTCAATATTTTCAATTAAATACTCCCAACAATTCAAGAATCTACAAAAGTTTTAAAATTTATTATCAATTATTTAAAAAATTATACCTAGGTTCAATTATTTTTATAAAAAAAGTATAATCTTGGAATTTTTCTCATTCTATTTTTTTAATTCAATTATTTTCAATATTTTCAATTACATATTCCCAAAAATTCAAAAATCTACAAAAGTTTAAAAATTTATTATCAACTATTTAAAAATTGTAACAATTTAATTATTTTTTAAAGAAAGTATAATTCTTATTTAATTTTCCTCATTCTATTTTTTATAGATTCAATTATTTTCAATATTTTTAATTACATATTCCCAAAAATTCAAACATCTACAAAAGTTTTAAAATTTTGAATAATTAAATTTAGAAATTATTGAAAGGTCAAGGAAATAGAGAATTTTAATTTTTTAAATTTTTGTGACAAAATTGAATGAAATAAACGACTTTTTTTCCATTTTTTCTGTATCGTTAATCGACTAAAGTGACTATATTTTTGCTCCTTAAAGTCGATCCGAGGCCTGTGTTCATAATCTAATTATTAGAGTATAAATCGCATAAATTAGATAATTAGTTTATTTTTTCAAATTGATAATAAATTGTTCTACTTTGATTTTTTTAGAACCAATTTAAATACAAAAGATTCAATTTATTCAAAACTTACTAGCAATTAGGTTTCCCATAGTTCCTGAAGTAACAAAAATAGCGGCCTCTTTTCCGACTAACATTGCAGCATGTTCCTCAAGTCCTGTCAATTAAATTATAATATTAAGGTAACAATTTATCGAAAAAGAAAATTTTTCTTTAAAGAAGAAAAAAGAAATTCTTTTTATTTTTAACATTATAGAAATGTTACTTTTAACAGTTGGATCTTCTCCAAAAACGTCGTCTCCTACTTCGGCTAAAGACATCGCTTTTCTCATTGATTTTGATGGTTTGCTAATTGTATCGCTTCGCAAATCCACTAGAGTCACCTGAAATATTAATTAATTAATTAATAATTATTCAATGAATATAAATTAATAAATGAATTAATAAATTTCAAGTCAAGAAATTTAAAATGAACAATTGATCTGAAAATTAATAGAATAATTTCGACTTACATTGTTGTCTACACTCGTCTCAGTTTCAATTTGAACGTACATTTTTGAAATTTATTTTCTCAATCTGAAACAAGTAAAATGATTATTGATTAATTTTAATGATTAATTTAATGAAATTTATTTAAAATTATTATTTAACAAATGATTCATTTTATTATTATATTTTCTTATTCTATTACGAAATTTGGTAACTAAAAATATTCTATTTTCAGAAAGAAAAACCCAAATTTTGGAGGCGATGAACGAGTGAAAATTGATGTTCAACTTTTATTTACACATCGATGGACTTCAAATGAATAAAAAGTAATTCCCTTAAAAAGAGGTTAAATCTTTGAGTCATCAGATGAAGTTCTTCGGTTTTAAAACACATTGGTAAGGAAAAAAAAACATCTCGTTTATAATTATTCTATTCATCATTTCTTACAAATTAATTAAATAACTCTCGTTTTTCTTTTCGCCGTGTGATTATTGTCTTGCAAGACAACGTGTTTATCGAGATAAGCAAAAAAAAAGTGAGAAATGATCGAATAATGAATCTGCGATAAAATAGTAATTTATTATGGGGGGAAAATTGAAGCAGTACAACACACGTACGGTATTTGACTCAATTACGTTATTAAAATATCGGCAATACAGGTTTCAATCCTTTTTTGCTCATAAAGAGTGAATCATTTTGCGAACAAGGCAATGATTACTTTCCTGCTCTGTTGATTTCAAAACAGTATTCATTCACTATATGGATTCATAGTCCATTTATGGTCACTCATAGTGGCTGTCGCGACGAAAACATGACCTTAAACTGAATTTTTGCTTATGCAATCTTTTTTTGATTGCATGTGCAAAATATGAGATAGAATTTTTTTCCCCTTTTAATTCCATATTGATGGCAATCACATTTTTTAAAAATATGGTTATAGAAATTATTTCAATTTTTTATTAATTTTTAATGTTATATTCGGCACTATATTCTTGAAACATAGTTTCTCCTCCTCCATTTTTCCATTTTTAAAAAAAGGAAAACATCTCCAACATTTTATGGTAAAAGTTTTTCTCTCTGATTCACTAATACGCGAAGTTCCACATACCTAATAAAGTAATTATTTCAGGGCAAGTAACTAACAAGATTAACGAAAAATATGGTTCGAATCGCCAAATAGGATACAAAATATTCAGTTCATCTATATTTAATTGAAGTCAAATATAATTACCCAATTTAATTTGATACGACCGTTTTTGTCTGTTGTATCTACTTGAAAAACTTTTCTGACAAATGAAAACAATTAAATATTATGATGTTTTTGAAGTTTCGACTTGTAAATATATTATTATTATTATTGTTATAAAGTAAAAATAATAATACAGACTTGAAAAGAAACTAATTAAACACTCATCCAAATAATAAATGAAAACAATTTCAGAGATTTTTTCTAAATTAAAATTTCGAAAATAAAAAGTAAAGCGAAAAATAAATAGCAAATTTAAGAAAAAAATTGTTTAATATTTTTAAAAATTTTAAAAAGAATTTATTAACAATAAGCAAGTGAATAATAATAAAATTAATAGCCAATAAATAGACTAGTAGGAAGTCAAATAATACCAAATTTTAATTAACAGTTTTTAATTAAAATTTAAATATCCAAAATTAAAAACATTCGAAATAAAACGAAATTAAAATTAAAATCAATACAAATTGCAGAAAAAAATATATGAATATTACAAAATAAAATTCCCGTGATATTAAAAAAAATTATTTAAAACTGTTTACATACTTTATTTGTGTTTCGCGTCGTTAAAAGCCAATTCGAAAGTTTTTTTTAATAATGAACACATTAATTTAATCTTACCTGGTGACTTTCAGAAGGTAAAAGCTTGAATCGATAAAAACTGGTTTTTTTTATTAAAAAAAAAAACTGTTCAAGTTAATTTTAACTCTTTTAGGCAGAATTTTTTTTTCCAGATTTAATGAAATTAAAGTTACTGTAATTTTTGAAAAGAATTTTGCGATTATTCAGAAAATGTTATCAGAAGAAATGTGATAATTCACTGTATATACTTGTTGCGTCGTCATATTAAGTAGAACTACACGTTTATCATGCGATGAATTAATTGGTTTATTAACTTCGACATTTATCCGTATATATGTATGAAATACATTCACAAAACGCTAATTGTTTAATCTTCACCTATTATTTTATCGTTTTTTATCTTTTTGCTCTTAAATTAAAAACTAGAGAAGAATTATCGAATTCTTATCAGTTAATTAATTGAGAATAAATTACGAATTTGAATTATTATCAATTTTTTTGGAAAAAAGGATTTAATTACTAAGTAGTTAATATTAGAAGTAATTTATAAAATTTTTGCAAAAAAATAAGGAAAGAAATAGAATTCTTTGGAGAAAATATTTATTAATTAAAAGAATTTTTTTAATTATTTAGAAATTAAATTAAAGTAAATTTATCTGTCAATAATTTTAATAAATTAGTTAAATTATATTGATTATAATTATAATTGGAATTAATTTAAATAATTTTTTTAATATTGTAAAATATATTTTTTTAATTAAAGAACAAAATTAAAAAATCAACTAAAAAAAATTGTATTTTCGTATACTTCTTCTAATTATAAAAGTTACTAATTAAAATTGTTATTTATTTAAAACTTTTATTCTAAATAAAAAATGAGTATTTATTAAAAACTAAGAAAAATACAAAATCATTGAGAATTTAATTTAAATTGAAATTATTTTATTTGGAAAAAATACTCCAATAAAAATAAAAAGCAAAATTATTTTAATAATCTTGTGATTATTTGTCTATTAAAGATTGAAAAATGGAGGAAAATATTTTATTTTATTATTACTAATAGAAATTAATATTTATTAAAATTTTTATAATTTTTATATTTTACTTTTAAATAAAAAATAAGTAAATAATTTACTAAAAACTAACAAAAATACAAAAACCACTAAGAATTTAATTTTATTTGGAAAAAATACAATAAAAATAATTATTTCAATAATCTGGTGATTATTTGTCAATTAAAATTGAAAAATGGAGGGGAAATTTTTATTTTATTTTTACTAATCAAAATTGTTATTTATTTAAATTTTTATAATTTTCTTTTATAAAAATTGAAAAATGGAGGAGATATAGGATAACTATTTAATAATTGCAAAAATACTATTAAATAAAAGTGCAAATTGCTATCAAACGGAAAAAAATAGGCTGTAAAATAATTGATCAATTTTATTTATATTTGAAGGACGTGAAATTAGACACTTTTTATTTACAATTTTTTCCTTATGTTGAGAAAAAGGAGTAAATTTTTGGTATTAGATAACAAGAAAATATGTAAGGAAAAAATGTTTATCACTGTTGAAAAAGATTTATTTATAATTTTACAAGTGTAAAAATAAATCAAAATTGTCTATTTTCACGTCCTTCAGATAAAATTAATCTTTTTAACATTAATTTTTATTTTATGTTATTTAAAAAAGTGTAACTAAAAATAACTTATTAATAATTTACAACTTTTTTAAGACTTTATTTGAAGAATGTGATTGTCTAAACAATTTTTAAAATTTAAATTCAAAAAAGGACAGTTGACCGTACGGTGGCGCTACTAGTGGCAAATTCTGAAACCTCAAGCATTTAACCGACAGCAGCAAAATCATGTTAAAAGCATGCAAATTGTGACAAATTACAATTGATTTTCAATCGTGCATGATAATATTCGAATCTATTTACAAATTTGAATCTTAAACTATCTTATTTGAGTATTGTATGCTTGAATAATACTTGAATAAAATGCGAAGATGTTGCAGTGAAAATTGCTGACCGACAGAGTTGAAGTGACAGTGAGAGAGAAAACGAGAAAAATGAGTCCGCAATAAAGGGAGAGGGAGAAGAGGTTAGGCCTTTACTGGGGGAAAGAGAGAGAGAAAGTGGTACTGTTGAATTTAAAGAGAGAAAAAGAGAGAGAGGGAGACAGCACGCTGGAGAACGCAATGGGTAGAGTCGGGTAGCCGGGAACTTGGATTCCGTGTCGCGAAGTAGTGTGTCGACCGCCAAGCTATACATGTGCGGTTTCGTCGTGAGAAGATTTATCGAAACCGTGGAGTTAAACGAGTGGTCGGTGGTAAATGATCGCGTGATTATTATTCGCGAAAAAGGGTTACTGGCGATAACAAAACGTGTGGTGGTAAAGTAAAGTCATATACAAGGAGCAACGCGTGCGCGCGTGCGTTTAATATTTTTCCAACAGGCGAGGCGAGAAAGCGCATTGTGTGTACGCTAAACAAAAATGGCGGACGGGGACTCGAGGGTAGATCGCTCTGACCCGGAGCTTAAAATTCTCTCTGTGGACAGGAACAGTTTCAACGATCCGGCAACTCAGGCGGAATGGACGCAGAAAAAATTGGTATGGGTACCACACGAGACTCAGGGTTTTGTTGCCGCCGGTATCAAGGGCGAGCGTGGAGACGAGGTCGAGGTGGAGATTGCCGAGACCGGCAAAAGGGTCCACGTTGCCAAGGACGATATTCAGAAGATGAATCCGCCCAAGTTCGACAAGGTCGAGGACATGGCCGAACTCACCTGTCTCAATGAAGCCTCCGTTCTACATAATCTTAAGGACCGTTACTACTCCGGACTAATTTACGTGAGTTACTCCAAATTTTTACATCACTCATTTGTCTATTATTAAACACAGTTGTCATTTTTATTTGAAATTGACATTTCAATCGATGCCAGATGACTTAAGGTTCGTTTAAAGGTCCTCTATTATAGATTTATTAAATGGTTTATATGTAAATTGGTTATGACTTCATGCCGGGCAATCTAACCTCAAATTTTATGACTTTGTCTCTAAATTAGGGGGAAAATATTTTTACCTGCTATTGTTTAGGTTCTAAATACAAAGTTAATTCGAATTGTAATTTTTCGAAAATTGTTGTAAATTGTAGAAAGACTCATTTGGTTGTTAGATCAGAACGGTTATCCTTTGCAGCTGCCATTGGCTGCGCGAGTTTCCTAACCATAAAGCACACCTACTCTCACCAACTCGGTTTCATTGGCGGAAAGTGAACCGACGAGGCGTCGTAATGCGGAATCGAGAGTATTTTTTGCAATGGGCACACGATCTTTTCTTGATTATTTATAAAAAGAAAAAGAATGAAACTGCAAGTGAAGAGGTTTCTAACCTCTCCAGAGAATCTCGAAACACTTTTACTCCTTTGATATTTACTATTATTATCGGTGGATAATGAATATTTACAGAGCATAAACATATGTTTATTAAATACTACACAATGTACGTGAATTGAATAAGTTTTATTTATGAGTAGAATATATAGCTATGTACGAGGATCACTGTACTCGCGCAGTGATTGTATCTCTATCTGTCATTTGTGCAACAAGTACAGCATCCGCAGGCGATAGACCGAGAGGAAGGGCGTTATTCCAACTTTTTCTTAACTTGATTAGCTTTATATATTCGAGTTGAGATAATTGATTTAAAGTCGCTGTCAAAAATCATCTGTTCTTCATTTTTGTCTCTCGCCTAATATTCTAATTAACATAATTTCACGTTAAATTTTTTAAATTCCTCTTTGTTTTTACTGTAAACTTTTTTAACTTTCATTTTTTATGACTAGAAAATTCCAAAGATTTATGAAGATCATCCTTTTTTTTAAAAGTTATTTCACAATTGTGAAATAGGCAAACTCTCCTAAATGATGATTATTTGCAGTATTATTTAAAATTCATGTCTTTCAAAAGTAATTATGTAATCAACATAAAAGCAGTGTAAGAAAGTAGTATGAATTCAACTATTTCAGAGAATTGAGAGAGATTTCTATAGGTGTCGGTTTTTAAAATTAAACTCTTTTTCTTTCGTCATAGGATAAAATATTAGTGGTCAAACTGCAAATACCTATTTAATTTTTACTGTGTGAAATTTACATCTCGTTTCTTTATTTCTCTTGTAAATTGTCCGAATATTTTTCGGAAAAAAAAATTATTATTCGGAGGTCGATAAACTTAAAAATTTTTTAAAAAGGAAAAATTGATTTTTCAATTTAAGAAACAATTTGTAATTTTAGTTTTAAAAAAGTTTTACTGTTTTTTAACTATACTTTTTACTGTCGTAAATTTTGTTTTTTTGGTGTAGGATTTAATTTTTACAAATGTTTGGTAACATAAATTATTTTAACACTGGTAGTAAAATATTTTCTAAAACCATATAAAAACAGTTCTCTCTGCTGTCAGTGTTTAGACATTTCTATTATATCCATTTCCTAGAGATGCTTATCGGTTGCGATAAAATTAAAATTTTTTCAAGTATATAACTCGTATTACTTGTGAGCAAATTCTTTAATTTCAATGGAACTATTTTTCTCCTTAATTTGATACGTTTCATACAAGTTAAATAACAGTGGCGGTATTTTTACGCTTAGTTAAATTAAACAATGGTTCTTTCAAAAAAAGTTTCAATTCGTTTCGCTAATTTTAGTAATACTTGAGTTAAAAATAATTTTAGCATCTATTTTTTATGTTGTGTCATTTATTTTTCATTTTGTCGTCTGTTAAAAAGAATATTAAAAAATCGGAGCAATATTTGCTTTTCTAAATTAATATTTAATAAAATTAAATAAAGTATTGTTTTTAAATTAATGGTAAAATTGGCAACAAATTGTTTAGCTTTGGTTAAAATTTAAGACAAAATAGCAGTAAATTATTTAGTTTTGACAAAGTTGTCGTGGGAAAAGGTCTGGTTCTCTTTGAAATAATGACCCTGCTCTGATTTTGTTTTGGTTAGGGAACCTTGACTTGTCGGTACGTGACTGTTTCTTTAAGGTTTGCACGATTTCCTCTCACCGGCAGACGAGTCGATAATCAATTTTATTTCTTGTAAATATAAATCATTTATTAATTTTTTCCATTTTGATTTTTTAATTTGAATGGATTTCTGTCCCTATTAAAAATTACTCAAGCGATTTTTAACATTAATTACATTAAATTTTTGTAACAATTTTCTTTTAAAATATACCTTTACATTGGATTTTTAAATCTGAGAAATTTTATTTTAAATAAACATTATAAACAAAGAAAATTTATTTTTCTGCTATGAAAACTGTAGATAATTAAAATCATGTGTCATTTAACTCTCTCTCTCTTTGCTTCTTTTTTCTCTCTGCAGAAATAGCACTACAACAGTTGAATATAGTTACAATAAAAATATACTTCACCGGATATATTTTATCGCGACTTCATAAGTCATCGCATCATCTTTGGTCATAAAAAGATTGCTGATCTGTCATAAAATTTACTGTTCACACATTTTAACAAGACATATACTTTTTCTTCGCTGACAACTATTTAATGTTTCAGCACAATAATTTTTATGAAAGTCGCTATAATTTTAATGTCATTTTTAAATTCAATTCATTTCGTAAATTGATTTTTAAATGACACTGTTCTTCTTTTGATATTTATAGCATTAAATTTTCGTATTGAGACCTTTATTTTGTGGTAGGTGAACAATTGAAAGGTAAATTTTCAGTAATGTTTAGCTAGAAAATTGGCAAATTAAAAATTCCTGAAAATTTTGGCACTTTGTAGATGTAGGATTTGATTTCAATCACTGTTTGGATTATCTTGAAAGTTAAACACGATTTGTTATTATGTTCGATTCGATTTGGACCTACCTGTAAAAGATCCTTGACATTCCGATGTTTAAGAGAAAAAAAAATAATTCTCAGAACTTAGAAAACAATTTCTATAGATTGAAAATGTTCTCACCAATCACGCACGAAAACCTTGAAGTGTAAAATGAAGTTTGCATATCGTACAGCTTTGCCAAGACAAACAGTAGATAAGGATGAAAAAACTAATCGTAATATTGAAAATTTCGTTCTATTTTCCCCCTCATCTATTCGAGAGGGTCGATTTTTCCATATTATAAACATTTTCCTGTCGATTCTTTGACAGAACTAATTTTCTTCCCTCGCAAGTCTTTTGACGGTCGTGACGACCTCTTTTGCTATCGATGAAACTCCCAAAGGTTTTAAATCTTAAAACGTCCATCGTGACCGGCTTGAAGTGACTCACGCGTGACTGATTCAGTAAACACTAGTCGTGAGGGAGGAACAGAGCGAGGGCTACAAAGAAAATGAGATGGATTGAGAATGGAGAAAAGAAGACGAGAAGGATGAAGAGAAAAGAGAGAGAGAGAGAAAAAAAAGATGTAGAGATTTCGTGAAAGCAATAAGGAGAGACTTAGGTGAGGTTATCTCTGTTTAGAGAGAGGGAGAGAGAATGTGTGATGGTGGAGGAGATGATGATGAAAGGAAAGAGAGAAAGAGATTCGTTAACAGATTGCTCTCCAGTAGGAACACATTCGCCTAAGACGCCATTTTGCAAATTCGAGACTTGTCTGCGAAATGCATGACATGCTGTTTACTCTTGCGAAAATTTTATAAAAGTTCTTGAAGCGTCAGCAAAATGCCTTTAATGTTTCGTAAAACTCTTTTGAGTTTATGCGCTAGCAAACGAGCACAACCGGACGTGCTTTGGTGACCAGAGAGTTCTTGCGAAAAACCAAACCCAAATACTCATGGTTTAAAGTTCGTTTCTCTTTAAATCTTATTCTATCTTATTCTCTTTTAATCTTATTTCGAACTTTGATGTAGTAAACCTAATATTTAAAGTTAAAAACCTAAAATTTTGCTAAGTTCTTTGTTAAGAACCTAGTTTCGAACATTCTCTCTAAATTTGAATTAAAGAAGTTCAAAATACGTTCCTAAAGTTCCGAACATTCAAACGAACATTTGTCAATTAACAAATGATGGCACTGTTTAGAAACTAATTTAAAATCTTCTTTGTTGTCTTCTTAAAAAAAACTCTTGAAAGGAAAAGAGAATCCTTAAAAACTGGTTTTTGTTTAAATCGACATAGTTAACTCGAAATTGTATTCGTACAGTAATTTCAATGAGACATTATTTAGTATTCGAATGAAGCAACGTGTATATGACTTTTAGAGTGGGGGAACTACTATTTTACATGCAACCTTCGTTCGTGAAGATAAGCGGTAAAACATTCAGGAATTTTCGCAGAATCGGTAATCGATCCACCGTTATGAGGCAAAACAGTGTGTTGATCATAAAGTAAATTTCCTTGAGACGAAAAAAAATCTACTTCCGACAGATCTATTTTTATTTCCCCGAGGATATTAATTCATCAAATTAACGTAATTAGAAAACTAGGGGAAATTATTTCCCCTAGTTTTCTAATTACGTCAATTTTTCTAAAATCGAAAACTAATTTTAATTTTTCGTTGAATTAATAAAAAGAAGAGGTTGAATGGCAAGGTTTAATTATTAATTTAGATGGTCAACAATCGCATTGTGATGAATCAACTAAAGTTGTCAATGTCGATTTTTATCGAGATTTTTATAAAAACAGATTTTCACCGTTGTTGTTGATTTAATATTGAAATATGTAAACTTTATCAATCTTTAATAATAGATTTTATCTCCAACTTCAGTGTCAAAATGATAATAATAAGTGCGATAAGGATCAAAATAAGTTGATTAGATTTGTTTTACGTCAATGTCTTGTCTAGGCGAGACGAATGAATCATTGAGCAATAAATGCATTTAA